AGGTATTGTTGGGGGGCCCTGTGCAGTATCGTTGGCAGTACGACCCTGAGAGACAGAACAAGCATCTGAGACAGAAATGTGGAAACAAAGCTAAGATTGAAGCTTCCATAGCTGAGGCAGTTATCCTAGAGGAGGTGGCAGACCTCAGGACAGCCTACTATCCGGACCATGTTCCCACGTTGCACAATAAGGTGTCTCGATACAATACAGAAAAACCCAAATATAAACCAAAGTTGCCTCTATTCACTGGGCAAGGTGGCAGGGCTGGATGCTCGACATCTTATGTCATGCCACGAGATGAGTGGGAGGATGTCATGTTCTATATCTTGCACAACATCAAAGAAGTTGAGGATGAGTGGATGAGGTAATACCTTTGCACCATTCTTTTAGTCAATTCGTTATGTTCACTTTGCCTAGTTCTTATACCGCTTTTCTTATTGTAGTCGATCCGTTGAGGAATAATGGACAGGAATGTTGCCTCCTACTGAAGCGGAGGCACTTGCTCTTCTCCGAAAGGGTGCTGATGGAAGGAGAAATTTCGTTGCGTGGTTCATGGAGAAAGTAATATTTCACACTTCCCTATTACCCATTTCACACTTCCAATTAAACTCATGCACCCTATAATTTCAATTAAACTTGTAGGGAAATGATCCGAACGAATCAATGGATGAAGAATTGAGATGGGTTTCCATGGGTTTTGACCCTACCATCATGACATGCCAAAAGTATGATGTGAATGGGTATCGCTTCCATACAGAGGAGCACCAGAACAGTCGGCCTGATCCCAAAACTATAAATATCGGAGTCTTCACCGAAGGAGATAATAATGTAGATTACTACGGAAGGGTAGGAAAAATATACGAGCTTACATTCAAATGTGGCCGTAAACACCTAAGTTTCACTGTGTTCAAATGCCGATGGTTCGACCCCAAAAAGGGTCTGAGACATACACCTTCTGTTGGTTTAGTTGAAGTTAAACCATCAACCGTCTATGCTGGAGCTCATCTCTTTATCGCCGCTACCCAGGCCACACAAGTATATTATCTGCCTTACCCATGCCAGAAAGAGTACCTAAAGGGTTGGGAAGTTGTGTTCAAGGTGTCGCCACATGGTAAGCTACCAGACCCGAACGATGATGATTACTACAACATAAACCCCATGACATACGAGGGAGTGTTTTTTCAAGAGGAACATGATGACGTGGTCCGAAACAAGGAGGATGATGACTTGGGTTATGTTGACCTGGACCCAAACGACGACGGCGCCCGGATTAATGGTGAGGCAGTTGTGAATCAAAGAGACATAATTATGCTTGAAAAGTTAAATGAAGACGCTGACGCTGACGATGAGGAAGAGCCTCCACCTCCGTCAGACAACGAAGAAGATATGCGGGATAGTGATGATGAGACCGGTCGACAAATAGATTACAATAGTGATGATTCATATGGGTTCTAGAAAATGTATGTTCTTTTAATAATGTTCTCTTCCGTTATTAATGTCTTTCCTGTATGCTTGTTTTTTTTATATCCTTACTAATTGTTTATTCTCTTCTCAATGCAGGTTTGCTAATCATGGGCAAGTCCAGCGGTGCCAGTTTCCTCAGTAAACTCAAAGGAGGACTTACTCGGAGTGGACGAGCCCACAAGGTTCCCTCCCGACTACGCGAGGATGGCACCTCACAGGGAGGTGGAGGGGTCGGGGGAGGAGACCCTAGAGGAGGAGGGGGTGGGGGAGAGCCCCTAGAGGACGAGGAGGTGGGGGGAGAGGCAACCGGGCCAAAAAACTCCGGGCCGTGTCCGAAATAGGAGGGTCTTCTTCGATGCCCTCCTATGCTGATGCAGCTTCTGAGTCTGAGGAGGAGGAGTATATTACTGATGTCGAGGAGGAGGAGGCCGAGGAGGAGGAGGCCGAGGAGGAGGAGGCCGAGGAGGGCGAGGAGGGTGGAGGGGAGGTTGACCCCGAGTTGTGGGGTGACTTGCCACCGGGTGCTCCGCAGGGGTGGCTGCGTGGTAGTGCCGAAGTACCTACACCACCTTCTATCGAGGCGCACAAGTGGCTCATTGAACCTGCGGGGACAGAGTAAGTGCATCTCAATCATACTTTCAACACATGACAACATTTTTTTATTGTACACATGGCAACCCTTTGATTCTTTTGCAGTAACTGGATCCTTCACGGAAAGGGCCGTAAACCGAACGGCCTTCTCACTGTCCTGTTGAAGCAGTTTTGGCCTGGCCTATTCTGCCCGCGGCCAGACAGGGACCCACAGCTGCGTGTTTTGGCCACAAGCTGGGCCCACTACGAGGCTTGCAGCAACGCGGAGTACGGGACGGCCGCTAAGGCCGTGATCACCAAATTTTGGGTAAGTTCCCTTTTGAATCACTTGTCTTTAGTTTCGTTCATAGTTTATCATTGAATCACTCAAATCATGCCTTGTTTGCTTCTGGTTTATGCATGATTGCAGCAACTCTATAGAGTTCTTGATGAGCACAAGGCCAGAGCCGACGTGGTCTTACTTGCGTCTACAAAGAAGAAAGCTCGTCAGTTGCAGTACGAGGTGCGTTGGGTTGCCGTCTCACAGTACTACCACATCTACCTGCAACAAAAGATGACCAGAACTCAAGCACAGAGGCAAAAAATTACCATGAGCAGGGAGCAGTTCATGATGGTAACTATTACTGACTTTTCATTGTTTCAAGGAGTCAACTATATGTTTCGTGCTCACATGTCATGCTTCCAAAATTTTCATAGGTTGTTCCTCGTTGGTGCTATGGAAGGCATGACGGATGGGCGTGTTTGGTGGATAGGTGGGTCGGTGACGATCCAGAGTTTGTTGCCAAGAGCATCAAGGCCCGGGCTAACCGTGGAAAAGACGGGACACACGGCCAAGGAAACAGGAACCACTGGGGCTTCAAGGCCATGAAGGTATATCTATATGAAAGATGCATTTTGGTTCTTCTTTACCGTCATGTTCTTATGTATGGCTAACTTCTGTTTGACGTTGCAGGAGGACAAGTTGCAGAGGCCGCTCTCAGACATGGAGTCGTGGAAGCTGGCCCGCGAGCGGAGTGATCGCAAGGAGGGCGAGAGCCAGTAGTACGGCAACACCGAGAAACACCTGCAGTCTTACACTCAGAACTATCAGAAGTTGCATCCGGATGTTCCCGTTCCTGAGGTTGCCCAGTCTCAGATCGACGACACGGCGGTGGTGGCCATCCAGGGTAAGTCCCATGGCCGGTATCCGTGTTTCGATGGCTTGGTCACTCCGTCGATCTCGTACACACGGCTTCGAGCTACCAACCCGAGCCCGTTAGAGAGTACGGGGCGTTCGCAGCCTCCCTTAGTCTGCCAACGTGCTGTAAGTACTTCCCCTTATCTTCTTTGTCTCTATCTTTCTTAGTTTATTTTCATCACTGCCCACTTAGAAACAACCTCAATTTTGTAGGCATATCAGACCTTTCTCGAGCATAGGCATATTGAGGTGAGGGAGTACTTGCAACGAGTGAAGGCAAACGATGATTACAGCCGTCAAGTGATGGCGGTTAGTTTTGCCCTCTTAAACCAAGCTCAAATTTGCACTTTCATTCCTTCTAACTTTGTTGATCACGGGTTGTTTCTAAGTGGACTTGTTTAACTAACATCCAGGCTATGTTGGCGTCTTGGACTAACCGCACGGAGCCACCACAAGTTGGGCCCCCACCACCACCTGCGGGAGACGCCCCACACATTCCAACGTTCGAGGAATGGCTGGCACTAGGCGGTGATACTCCGGTTAGTAAATTTTCCTAACTAATGACAAACTAGTTCTCGTTCATTCAACACTATCATGTCAATTTTTACCGTTAGAATCTTCTTTCAAACATGTAGGGGACCGGTGGCTCGACTCCTGCTACGTCGACCCTAGTCACTCCGATCTGGCAGAGTGATGGTGGTCGCGGTGGCGGTTTTGGCGGAGGAGGACTTGGCGGTGGCGGTTTTGGCGGAGGTGGACTTGGTGGTGGTTTTGGCGGAGGTGGACTCAGTGGTGGTGGTGGTTTTGGAGGAGGTGGACTCGGTGGTGGTGGTGGTTTTGGAGGAGGTGGACTCGGTGGTGCTTGATGTCGATGATGATTCCGTGTATGCGGCCGTTGTGCCATGTCTTTCATGTTTCAACTTTTGTGATGTTTCATGTCTTGCACTATTCTTATGTTCGTGGACTTTCGCCGGTGATGATCTTTAGATGATGAACTTGACTATGTTTAAATGATGTTGATGAACTGTCATATTTCATATTATTCTGTTTTGAAATGTTGTCAAATGAATTGGAAAAGAGAAAACAGGGAATAAAAAAAACTATGCCTACGGCAAAGCCGTCGGCATAGATAAATTCAGGAGCCACCAGGAGGCGACACGTGGCACGGCTATGCCTACGGCCAAGCCGTCGGCATAGATTTATATCTATGCCGACGGCTTGGCCGTAGGCATAGCCATGCCACCAGGTTACACCAGGAGGCGACACGTGGCAGGGCTATGCCTACGGCAAAGCCGACGGCATAGATTAAACCTATGCCGACGGCTTTGCCGTAGGCATAGCCCTGCCACGTGTCGCCTCCTGGCCTGCCAGCAGTTTGACGGCGCCGTGCGTTGCCGTCAGACGGAAAACTACGCCGACGGCTAAACTATGCCGACGGCTGCGCCAGGGCCGTCGGCATAGACCCCTATGCCGACGGCATTATTATGCCGACGGTCTGACAGGAGTACGCTGACGTAATCTAGACTGACGGCTCTATGCCGACGGCTGCCGTCGGCATAGGTCTATATCGACGGCCTAGGGGCCTATGCCGACGGCCCGTGGCCGTAGGCATAGACAGCGAGTCCGGTAGTGCTACCAGAGTAGTGTTTTTTCTTTAAGACCAGTAGACCAGATTGAGAGGAATGTATACACTTTGAACAGGCGCTGGACTCAGAAGGGACTAGCTCATAACGCGTACTGTCAAGTCGTGGATATTGATGATACGTCCATGGGTTTCCGTCTCCTCCGTCAGCATGGCTACGATGTCACTCCATGTAACTAATAAGTAGTAGCGCTTTGGCATGCATGGCTACTATATATGTTATGCTGGATCGAGTTTGACAGACTAACGCACATCGATCTACAATGTAGCCGTGTTTAAGCACTTTGAGACCAAGGATGGCAATTTCTTCTGTTTCCCCATGGAGACCAACCACGCATCTGTCACCCCGATGTACAACACTTACCGTGCTTCGCAGTTCATGTTCCCTGGTGACGACGACGTCCTGGCACGGGCCGGGCGCTATTGTCGTGCATTCCTCCGAGAGAGACAAGCCTCCAACAAACTGCACGACAAGTGGATCATTACCAAGGACCTGCCGGGCGAGGTAGTATGTTCCAACAAATTCCAGTTAATTATATATATGTATGCATCAATCGGGCTACTATTTAATGCCCTTAATTCACAACAGATTGATGAGCCATTCGTCCTGTAAATTCAGGTCGAGTACACACTGAACTTTCCCTGGAAAGCAAGTTTGTCACGAATTGAAACAAGGATGTATCTGGATCAGTACGGAGGCAACACAGATGTCTGGATTGCTAAGGTCCTCTACAGGTAAAAATAATTAATAATGAAACTTCTATCACTACCATACTCTGCATCATAAGACCAACCTTATTACATTGTTTATTACAAAGAGATCCGAGTTTGATCTGGCCAAAAGAAGAAATGATAATAACATATGGACCAACTAAGATTAACATGCCAAACAAGACCACTCTAAACACTCAATGGCCTATCACTTGCACGCCATCCAAACAAGGATATCAACTCAGTGGTAGCTTCTTCACGCTAACCTCAACCGGCTCACTGTGATGCATGTTATGTAATACTGTGCATAACCGCCGCCAATTGGTACACGATAGTTGCATCTCCATAACCTCAGTCAAAAACACCGTCATTTTTACATAGTCAGATAGACAAAAACAATGTTGTCGTCCCAACCAAAATAAAAATACCTTAGAGATTTAACACCCTCCCCCTCTCTCACACACACGCGCGCGCGCGCACACACACACACACATACACACACACACACACACACACATGGACCCGTTCATGTATGTCTACTAGCCAATTTTGCTGAGGTGGCATAGACTAAATGAAGAAAAAGAGGGTCGAGTATCATATCATAATAAATGATGTGCTGCTATTTATATGCATGACAATAAATGAGGTCATCAAAATACTAACACATGATACTATGCACGGTGAAGATAGTATCATATACTAATAAAATATGCATGATAATGATGTTACAGGCAGCTTAAGAGAGATGTGTCCGATCTACCCATTTTATCGGAATCTAATTGATCCCTCATGCACCACATTGAAAGATACACATGAAACAAAAGTATCCTTCAAATTCGTAAGGCCCTTCCAAAGGTGGGAGTATTAGTTTGGCTTTCACAATCGTGAGTATTTCGCTCCAAATGCTTAAAGAGAAACTCCCAAACTCCATCCAAGGTTTTTCTTTTGAAAAGAAGGTTGAAATCTCCGGCATGTGCATCCAAGGATGCACACAACCATATTTATTATATTATTCAATAGTGTCAGACGAAACAAATACATGGATCTAACCCAAAGCCACCTTCTTGGCAACCTCTAGCGCTACATCTAAAGCTTGGTGACGTGCCTTGACATCACACCATCTAATTTGATTGCCTTGCCAAGCCGCTCACGGCCAGCCGAGAGCACCAACTAGCTTAGCAAACCCTAAGCGCGCAACGCACGTGCACGCTCTAGAATCTGCCTTCGCCATCTTCCGCGGATCAACGCGTTGACCTTGACAGGTCCAACTGTCATCGACGCAAACATCGCCCCGCCCTCCAGACCCCTTTAGCCAACACTTGCTCCAAGAAAGTTGCTCTCATGAGGGTGAGCGGCTCCAGACACCCCCATTGCTTGATCCGAAACACCAAGATCAAGGGTTTCCCCCCGAAGCAGATGCATCTTCCATCCGAGTCCACGTGATGGTCTAACGCTACCACACCTCTGAGCTCCCAGGGGCCGAAGCTCCAAAACAGTGCCACTAAGGAGGTAAGCGACACCACACGCCACCATTGTCCAGTCCGGCAAGCCAAACTTAAGGATTCCCTCAGAGCTCCACAGGACCACCACCTTGACGATGCCCTCAAAGGAAGTTTGCAGCGGCTGTAGAACTCGCTACATCATCTGCAACGGCAGATCCGTCCCGCGAACCAGGGCATAGGCACAGGTCAGAGAAACCCACCAACGTAGGAGGAAGGACCGCATCGGGCTAGACAAATCAAGGCAAGTGACCCAGATCTGTCCAACCCAACCCAACCCAAGGTGTCGTCGCCAGCTGGAAGAAGATCTGGGGGCGCGTGCCATGGATCCGTCGCCACCACCTGCGGCCCGTCAATGCCGACATACGTCGCCCACAACCCTTGCAGTGAGAGGCCGCCGTCCGCCAGATCTGGCCGGAGCCATCTCGCCGTCACAAACCACCCATCACCACGCCTGTCGACACACTGTCACGGTGCATGCAAGCCAATGCACGCCCGCGCCGCGCCCATGCGAGAAGGAGCCGCCCTGTGCTGGCCCATGCCTGCGAAGGGACAGGGATGCCCTGCCACTGCCGGCTCTGGTCGAGCTTCGCCCAGCCGAGCCATGTGACGATGGTGACGGGGGAGAAGGGAGATGAGGGTTGGCGGCCTTGATTTAGAATTCTTCCGCGTGGCACGCAGGGGCGGCGTGGGATGAGACGTCCACTTGCGCATGGCCTAACAATATTTTATGGCATCTTCGCTTAGTAGCTATACATCCAGCATTCTTATGGAAGTTACTATTTAACCCAGAGAGCTGGTCAAACACGCTAAGAATTCGCTTCATATTGATGGCTTTAGCCAAGTCATGTTCTACAAAAATAATTGTATCATGAGCATCTTGTAGACTAGACAGCTCGTCATGTACTAATTGAGGAATGAGGATTCACCTGGGCGTTTTAACACAGTAGACGCAGACACTCATATGTACTATAGACATAGACGCTCATATATATGCACATATATTCATTCCTTATAAATGCATGTATGCACACCCTATCTTTATGAGCACCTCCACTGAGCGGGCATATCATCTTGAGATTGATGAAGTTGCCATAGTTGACAGATCATCTCCTCCATTGAACACACATCGCTGCAGGCCTGAGATAAATCTAGGAATATGCAGCCAGCAATGCCAAGTTTAGAACGTGAACCCTGGTGGGTTGCTTCCACCAAAAGGAACCTAACGTCTGAGTTACTCTCGGTTTGCTAGTGAGGACCCACAGTTAGTAACCATCCTGTGTAGTACTCATCTTACACGTGACACTAGACCTATTCTTAGTTGCTACTATACTAGAAAAAATTACAGTTCCTAGTGATGCAGATGCCGGATGTGTGTCCGTTCATTGGTTTTGTATTGATTGATGCATCAATTTAAGTCAATAAAGCGCCTTTTATTAAAAAAATAGAAATTTCTGGTTGCCAAATATTTATCACACCCTTAGTTCTGACCCATACCATTTCAGAATGAATCTTGTGAGCAACGACATGTACCTTAAAATGGCAAAAGCTGATTTCAGAGAATATCAAAGACTCTCCCGACTTGAGTGGAATGGCCTCAGAAAGTAAGTCACGGTCTATTTTTTCTACCACTCTATTCCAAGTGCAATCAATAAGCTAGTAAAGACTGCTATATTCTTAAATGAGATCGAGTATGCACAGGTGGTATTTCAGGAACCATCTGCAGAGGTATGGTGGGACTCCAAAGAGCGCGCTCACGGCTTACTTCTTAGCTTCAGCAAATATCTTTGAACCTAGCCGAGCAGCAGAGCGTCTAGTATGGGCTCGTGTGGATGTGCTTGCTGAGGCGGTTACAGCTCACTTTCGACACATTGGGTATGTATGCAGCTTGCAGCCTCACAGTTTTCCCTCTCCGGAATCTTCTTTTAGTGATGATCGATGCAAAATGTGTGTGCAATTCATTGCAGGGGTCCATGCTATTCAACAGAGAATCTTGAAGAACTTATCAACCTTGTTTCATTTGACGATGCTTTTGGCGGTCTTCGTGAAGCTGTAAAATTGAACAAATCATTACACGTAGATATAGTTGTTGATATGATATTGAACTTTTACCAGATATGAAACGGCCAAATCTCTATTTTCTTTGGTAATTACAGTGGAAGCAGTGGCTCATGGCATGGACTGCAAAGGAGAGCCATGGATCCGTTGATGGAGATACATCACTGTTGTTCGTTCGCACCATCGAGATCGTCTCAGGAAGGATTGCTTCAACCGAGCAGAAACTGAACCGTTGGGATTATTCCCAGCTGGAGCAGCTCACCTCTTCCATCTGCCACAAGCTTGCCACAATAGGTCTTGCTCAGGTGCGTGTGTACATGCATTGCATCCATATATCCATCTGTGAAACTATAACCAAAAAATGTTTAATGGGGGGAAAACAGAATGGGGCAAGTATGGAGAACACAGAGGGCTTACACCGGCAAGTGCATTTGGAGATGCAAGAACTATCTTGGCGTGTTCATCAGGGTTGCCATGGCATCAACAGAGAGACCAGACAGACATTTCTCAACGTGGTGAAAAGCTTCTATTACTCGGCTCATTGCTCACCTGAAACAGTTGATAGCCACATCGCAAAGGTCATATTCCAGGATGTGATTTAGGAAGAACCCTCTTCAGTCCTCGTTGAAATTATTAAGCATGTTTTGTGATGGGTTCCGTCATGTTACATGTCTAAGAACCTGCAAGGACTGCACGTGAATACTTAGATGGAATAAAAATAAGGTTCCGAACGACATGATACATGCCTAAGTTGTACAAGCAGGTAACAGGCACTAGCTAGTGCACAAATGTTTACACACATCTTAATTGACGGTGCGACACTTTCAATTCAAGTCATCATTATCTTTTTGAAATACTAGTGGTGTGGGCAAGAAAGCATACGTCGCCACTATTGCATTAACACTACTGGAAAAATCACCGTTACCGAATTCTTTGTTGTTTGCCGAGTACCGGAACACGGGATCACGGTAAAAGACATGTAAGCCGAGTGTGGCTCTCGGCAGGCAGCAGGACACAGCACACGCCGGCAGTTGCTCCTGGTAAAATGTGCTCGGCAAAAAAAGAACACTCGATTTATTGGTGGTGTGTCAAAGACTCGACACGCCACTGGTTACTTACAGCGTGGGGTAAAGACACGCTATTGGTCTATTTTTGGTCACTGTTTCTCGTTTTCAGGCCCGAATATTTGTTTCTCGTTTTTGGGCCCCAATATTTGTGGCGTGGGCTTAGTCCGACGCCACTACCTCGCCCTTCTTTTTACTTAGGTAGAAACCTAGCGCATACTTTGTCTATCTCCACTCAACCCGTCTGCCTCCCAAGACTAGCCGCTGCTGCTGGACCTTGCCGAAGAAGGCTACCCCCTTGTCGTCACCATCAGAGATCGCCGCTCATTGTCACAAAAGGTTCGATCCCTACCTCTCCTTCACCCCACGCTTCGCTCCGTTGCATCCGGCCGGCCTTCCTCGTCGCCAGCCGCACCAAATTTGTTGTGTTGTTATAATAGATAGATTGATTGATATATAGTCTAGGGTGATATGCTAAGGGTGGAATCCATGGATTTACATGCTAAGTTATAGGAATTCTGTAGGAACGGCCTTGCCTCATTGCTAATCGCGACCAATATATGTTGTAGAAATGATAAATTTTAGGGTTAGTAATCCATTGATTGATATGCTTAGTGTGGATTGATAATTTTGTAAATTTAGTTCTAGAATGCATGTTATACAGTGCATTACTATAGATCATGCACATTACTGTATATCATGCGGATATTCCTGTCTGAGCCGCCGGATGCAAAATGAACGGCCAGATTATTTTCTTCAACCTAATGCCCCATATCCTATTCATGTTCTTCCCTGAAACTACCCCCACGTTCCGTCGAACTGCGCCGCTCACGGCCGGTGGCGCTCCCGCGCCATCTTAGCCACACAGGCCTCCCCTCACCCGCCATCCATGGCCATCCCTCTCACCCTAATGAGGGAATTTTTTTTCCGGGTAAATTGCAGCGCTCCCACACACCTAAGTTAGATCGTGGGCGAGCCTGTCCCCCCTCCCCCTCCCCACCCCTAAAGTAGATGCCGGCATGCCTGCCTAGGATGGATGAACCCAATTCTAAATTCGCGCAACATATATGTGGGTATTGTGTAGATGTAAAAGTATGATAAAGTTTAGAAAAAAAAGGTTGGTAAAAACCAACACGTCGCGAACACTGAACTAATGGTACGAGTATCTTTTTTTTTGAAAGATCCAGATCGTGGTGGAATTTCATTGATTTGGAAGGAGAGAGCGGAAAACATGGTTGATCAAGTGATCGGTGGATGAAAGATTACACAAAAAGGAGGAGAAAAAGATGGCCCGGTTCATAGTGTAGGTCTATCCTCTCGCATCGCTTTCCCCGAAGGGGCGCTCGAAGTGCTTTGCTCCCACTCAGCGTCGGAGTTCAACGGTGGCCCGCATTCTGGCAATGACATCTGCTGGGCTTGCTTCCTTGCTGCGAAAAATGCAGCTGTTCCTTTCTTGCCAAATCTCCCAACATAACAGGATAATCATTGATCGGATGGCTTGCCTCTCGCTCCCTGGCTGCGCCTTATGCGTGATCATATTTATCGTGACTGAGCTTGAAGGCGTCGCCGCCCAACAGGCTAGGTTGAGGGCTTGGCAACCACGCCAACGTGATGTCATTGCCCAGATCTTCTGGGAGCAGGGGCAGGACCAGAACAGATGTTCTGAAGTCCCCAGATAGCGGAAACAGAATTGGCAGAAGTATCTGTTTGACCATCCACGCCGCTGAAGCTGATGGTTGCACCACAGACGGTTATGTTGAAGTAGCCAGAAAAAGATCTTCATCATTGCCGGCGCCCATGGCTTGCAAATTGTCGATCTGTACCTGCAGTCCGGTGGGTCTTGGAACTGAATCGCATAGGCCGAGCTGGTGGAGTACACCCCATTGCCTGTAGCGGTCCACCGAATGTTGTCCTGTACTCCTTCTTGAATTATGCCTGCGTGCCTCTGCAGCCTTCTCCAGAGATCAAGGAACTCAGACGCGATGACACCAATGTCGCCATGCCTGAGATCCCGAATAGTCGTTTCTTAGCGTCTCTGCTACCGACCTGCCCTTGAGCTTTTAACCCATACATGCAGTTCTTTCTCTTGAGTACTGCGCTGTAGCCGGGCGACGAGTGAATCGCCCGCTCCCTTCTCTCTCCTGTCTTTTCTTCCCTCCAGCTAGATTTTTTTTGACGTGTAATGGCTTGCAGCTGGCTGACTAGACGCTATTGACCTATTGTACTTGCTCTTAACCAGAAGGAGTAACTGGTAGTAATTGATGAAACAGGGGAGCGGTGACATTGACCACACGCACAACCTCTGCCGGTTTCTGGTCTCTGTTGTCCCGCCTCGCGTCAACTATTGCCGTGCTGTCCACCACAATCACCCCCGCCCCGCCTCGGAAGTGGGTCGCTCTCACACCACACCACACCACCCGGCGCAGCCATCCCACATCGCTGCCTCCGCCACCCTCCCACATCGCTAGCTTCCCCCTCACACTCCAAGGAATCGACGAGCGCCAAAGCAGCCAGCTCCCATGGGCCGCGGCCGTGCCAGGAGGCGCCCCCCGACCCCCTCCGACTCCTCATCATCGGACGAGGAGCTCCTGCTGCCGGTCGGCGTGGAGGCGGACGATGAGGGCGAGGCGGACGATGAGTCGGAGGAGGACGACGAGTTCATACTTCTGCCGGTCGGCGCGGAGGTGGAGGTGCGCAGCGACGACCCGGGCTTCGCCGGCTCCTTCTACGAGGCCACCATCGCCGGCCACCTGCTCTCCCACGGCCGCCTTGGTATGATTTCTAGATCGATCACCTTCTGAGAGATTGCATGGAGGAATGCACATAGCTTCACAATGGCTAATCGGACATTTTTCGGTAGAAGCCCCCTCAATGCAACCGGAAGCAGTTGCGTCATAATCACGTGGCAGTCATGAGACTTTAGGTTTTGAAATTTTTTCTCTGCCATATTTATTATTCCCTTTATATTCGACGAGAAGCCAGTCGGGACCTTCATACTAAGCAGGCATTCAAAGAAGATTTCCTTCTCTTCCTTGGTAAGAGCGTAGCTGGCAGGACCTTCATACTGCTTTGGAGGCATGTCGTCTTTTTCGTGCAAACGTTGCAGGTCCTCCCGTGCCTCAGCTGTATCTTTTGTCTTCCCATACACGCCCAAGAAGCCTAGCAGATTCACGCAAAGGTTCTTTGTCACGTGCATCACGTCGATCGAAGAGCGGCCCTCTAAGTCTTTCCAGTAGGGTAGGTCCCAAAATATAGATTTCTTCTTCCACATGGGTGCGTGTCCCCCAGCGTCACTCGGAACAGCTAGTCTGTCGGGACCCTTTCCAAAGATTACGTGTAAATCATTGACCATAGCAAATACGTGATCACCGGTATGCATGACGGGCTTCTTCCGGTGATCTGCCTCGCCTTTGAAATGCTTGCCTTTCTTTCGACATTGATGGTTGGTCGGAAGAAATCGACGATGGCCCAGGTACACATTCTTCCTGCAGCTTCCCAGGTATATACTTTCGGGGTCAGCTAAACAGTGCGTGCATGCGTGGTATCCCTTGTTTATCTGTCCTGAAAGGTTACTGAGAGCGGGCCAATCGTTGATGGTTACAAACAGCAACGCGTGCAGGTTAAATTCCTCCTGTTTGTGCTCATCCCACGCACATACACCGTTTTCATTCAACAGCTGTAAAAGTTCTTCAACTAATGGCCTTAGGTACACATCAATGTCGTTGCCGGGTTGCTTAGGGCCTTGGATGAGAACTGGCATCATAATGAACTTCCGCTTCATGCACATCCAAGGAGGAAGGTTATACATATATAGAGTCACGGGCCAGGTGTTGTGATTACTGCTCTGCTCCCTGAAAGGATTAATGCCATCCACGCTTAAACCAAACCATACGTTCCTTGGGTCACGTGCAAACTCAGCCCAGTACTCTCTCTCGATTTTTCTCCACTGCGACCCGTCAGCGGGTGCTCTCAACTTCCCGTCTTTCTTACGGTCCTCACTGTGCCATCACATCAACTTAGCATGCTCTTTGTTTCTGAACAGTCGTTTCAACCATGGTATTATAGGAGCATACCACATCACCTTCGCAGGAACTCTCTTCCTGCGGGGCTCGCCGTCAACATCACCAGGGTCATCTCATCTGATCTTATACCGCAATGCATCGCATATCGGGCATGCGTTCAAATCCTCGTACGCACCGCGGTAGAGGATGCAGTCGTTAGAACATGCATGTATCTTCTGCACCTTCAATCCTAGAGGGCATACGACCTTCTTTGCTGCGTACGTACTGTCGGGTAATTCATTATCCTTTAGAAGCTTCTTTTTCAATATTTTCAGTAGCTTCTCAATTCTTTTGTCAGGCATAGCATTCTCTGCCTTCCACTGCAGCAATTCTAGTACGGTACCCAGCTTTGTGTTGCCATCTTCATAATTGGGGTACAACTTTTTTTTGTGATCCTCTAACATGCGATCGAACTTCAGCTTCTCCTTTTGACTTTCGCATTGCGTCCTTGGATCGACAATGACCCGGCGGAGATCA